GTAAAAAAATAAAAAATAAAGAAAAAATTTTTTAAAAAGCCTTCTCGCCAGGCAGGAGGAATCCATAATCCCGCTGCTTGTGGATTCTGCCCGGGAACTTCTGGAGAGAGCAGCACAGAGGAAAAGCAGGATCAAAATGTGAGGGGAGAGTGGAAAATTGGGGGGAAAACTCATGAGCACCAACTCTCCTCCCTCCCAGCCAAACCGATCTTCCTGCAGAGCTGGGGAGAATTCCAGCCGGGAAATTCCTGGATTTCCAGCCCAGCTCTGTGCTGCGCCAGGAGGGAGGTGACAAAGGGCCCCAGGTGTCCCCAGGTGTCACCAGAGCCATGTTTAGTTTCTCCTGGACGCCTTGTCTGGCACTGGGATCACTCTGCTCTTAAACCATCCCATTTTTGGGAATTTGGGGTGAAAATATCCGGGTGAGACCAAACCTGCACGGGAGTTTTGTTCCTGTAAGGAATCGCTTCCCGTGGGAGCTGAGCCATAAATCCCCTAAATCCGCACAGAGCCTCTGCTCGGGGCTGAAATCCCCGTCCCTGCAGCGCTGATCCCACCCCAGTCCTGAGGAGTTCTTTGGGATTTCTGGAGCATCCAGAGGCGAATCCCCAGCGCTCCCCACAAAGCGCTTCAGGATCCGCCGCTCCCACCTGAGCCCAGGTGTTCAATCCCGCTTTTCCACGGATTGCAGCAAAAGGAGAAATTAACGGGGTGGTTTTTTCCATCCGCCCTGAATCCTGCTGCTGCCACAGCCTGGAATTCCTCCCTCGTTCCCCTGCAGCGTTTTGATGACGTTTTCCTCCCCTCCTTTGGCGAGGAGCCCTCGGAGTTTTCCCAGTTTACAAACCCCTGGCTCGAGCCCTAATTAATCCTCAGAGGGCACTAATGGCACAGAAAGCTCCGGAGCAGCTTGAGTTATCCACGGAGAAGCCAATAAACACCCCCGGGGCTGAGCAGAGCTGTTAAATACCCCGTAAATCTGCCGGCAGGAACATTCCCTGCTGGGGATCTCCTCCAGGCTGGGATTCCCCTTCTTTCCTTTCCTTTCCTTTCCTTTCCTTTCCTTTCCTTTCCTTTCCTTTTCCTTCCTTTCCTTTCCTTTCCTTTCCTTTCCTTTCTTTCCTTTCCTTTCCTTTCCTTTCCTTTCCTTTCCTTCCTTTCCTTTCCTTTCCTTTCCTTCCCTTTCCTTTCCTTCCCTTCCCTTCCCTTCCCTTCCCTTCCCTTCCCTTCCTTCCCTTCCCTTCCCTTCCCTTCCTTCCCTTCCCTTCCCTTCCTTCCCTTCCCTTCCCTTCCCTTCCTTCCCTTCCTTCCCTTCCCTTCCCTTCCCTTCCTTCCCTTCCCTTCCCTTCCCTTCCTTCCCTTCCCTTCCCTTCCCTTCCCTTCCCTTCCTTCCCTTCCCTTCCCTTCCCTTCCCTTCCCTTCCCTTCCCTTCCCTTCCCTTCTTCCCTTCCCTTCCCTTCCCTTCCCTTCCCTTCCCTTCCCTTCCCTTCCCTTCCCTTCCCTTCCCTTCCCTTCCCTTCCCTTCCCTTCCCTTCCCTTCCCCTTCCCGGGGAATTGGAGGGGTTTTACCTGGGGGGCTCAGAATTGCCCCCCACGCCGTGCCCAGATGGGTTTTGGGGCTGGTTTGGGCTCTTCCCAGGAAAGGGGGAAGCCACAAACCCCCAAATTTGTGTCATGGCCACCAAACCCCTCCACGTTTGCTCCCAAGGGGTCACAGAATCACAAAATCCAAAACCGGGGTCTCGCCTGGGCAGTGGTAAAACCACAAAATCCCAAATTTGTACTGTGGCCACCAAAGCCCTCCAGGTTTGTGCCCAAAAGAGGACAAGGGGTCACAGAATCACAAAATGCCCACGGGAGGAGCAGAGGGGTCCTGGGCAGGAGCAGGACAGGTCTGGGGACCCTGAGGGTGGGAAGGGACAGCAGGGGACATTGCTGAGGTCACTGCTCCAAAACGGCCCTGGAAAGGGATCGGGGGATCCTGGAATTCAGGAGAGGATGGAGCTGGGATTCAGAAGAGGATGGAGCTGGAATTCGGGAAAGGATGGGGCTGGAATTAGGGAGAGGATGTGGCTGGAAAAGATGAAGCTGGAATTCAGGAGAGGGTGAGGCTGGAATTCTGGAGGGATGGGGCTGGAATTCAGGAGACGATGGGGCTGGAATTCTGGAGAGGGATGAGGCTGGAATTCTGGAGGGATGGGACTGGAATTCGGGAGAGGGATGGGGCTGGAATTAGGAAGTGGATGGGGCTGGAATTCAGGAGAGGATGAGGCTGGAATTCGGGAGAGGGATGAGGCTGGAATTCAGGAGAGGATGAGGCTTGAATTCGGGAGAAGGATGGGGCTGGAATTCGGGAGAGGGATGGGGCTGGAATTCGGGAGAGGATGGGGCTGGAATTCGGGAGAGGGATGAGGCTGGAATTCAGGAGAGGGATGGGGCTGGAATTCGGGAAAAGATGAGGCTGGAATTCGGGAGAGGGATGGGGCTGGAATTCGGGAGAGGGATGGGGCTGAAATTCGGGAGAGGGATGGGGCTGGAATTCGGGAGAGGGATGGGGCTGAAATTCGGGAGAGAGATGAGGCTGGAATTCGGGAGAGGGATGGGGCTGGAATTCGGGAGAGGGATGAGGCTGGAATTCGGGAAAGGATGAGGCTGGAATTCGGGAGAGGGATGAGGCTGGAATTCGGGAGAGGGATGGAGCTGGAATTCAGGAGAGGATGAGGCTGGAATTCAGGAGAGGGATGAGGCTGGAATTCAGGAGAGGGATGAGGCTGGAATTCTGGAGGGATGGGGCTGGAATTCAGGAGAGGGATGAGGCTGGAATTCGGGAGAGGGATGAGGTTGGAATTCAGGAGAGGGATGGGGCTGGAATTCGGGAGAGGATGGGGCTGTAATTCGGGAGAGGGATGAGGCTGGAATTCAGGAGAGGGATGGGGCTGGAATTCGGGAGAGGGATGAGGCTGGAATTCCAGAGGGATGGGGCTGGAATTCAGGGCGGTTTCAAACGGCACCAGCAGCCTCTGGCGGGCGAGGCGGGCTCTGCAGAGGAGTTCGGTTTTATTTAACAAAACTCCAGCTGAGCGCTGGGACTGGGCTGGGATGGGAAATTCTGGAGCATCCCAGCTTTCCCCGAGATGGGAATTTCAGCTCTTCTGCCTCCCCCGGCCCAGGCTGGGCTTAAATCAAGCTGAAACCGGCTTAAAGGGCTCTGGAGAATCAGCAGAGAGGAAAATCTGCTCCGGGTTTGGCTGTGATTTAGTGAGACCCGCTCAAAGCCGTGTTTACGCAGTGCCGGGCTCAATAAATCCCGGAATTACTGCTCCTCTTTAGGCGTGATTTAAGTCACTTTAAGGGTTTTGAATTTGCAGCAGCACAGCCAAAAGGGTTTTTCACAGCTGGGTGAGGGAAATGAACAAACCCCAAAGGTCTGAGCCCCCCCCAAACTCGGGATGTTCCCGCTCCAGCACCCAAATAATCCCCGTGGATGATTTTAACCCAATTCCAGCATCCTGTGTCGGAGCTGGGGTAAATCCTCATTTTCCAAGCTCTCCTCCAGTGGAACAAGGATTTCATCCGGCATGGAGAGGGCTGGGAATCCTGGAATGGGGTGGGAAGTGCCTCAAAACTCATCCAGTGCAGCCCAGGGACAGCTCCCGCTGTCCCAGGGTGCTGTGAGCACATCTCCCTCCTCCAGCTCCGTGATGAATTATTTATTCCCGGAGTGCAGCAGCTCCGCTGAATTATTGAGGAGGATTTGGATCTGGAGGCTGATGGAGCAGAAGCACAGAACGCCCGAGGGGAAATCCAGGCCCTTTTCCTGCTGGTTTTTTCCCTGGAAAGCAGCAGGAGAGAGGCCTGAGCCGCCCTGGGGTGAATCCGGGCAGGCAGAGCCAGGCAGGCAGAATGGGGAGGAGGGGGAGGAGGAGGAGGAGGAAAAGGCTGGGAAGGAAAAGGAGAGAAAACTTTTCTTCTGAAAAGGAGAGAAAACTTCTGCTCCAGAGCCCCTGGAGTGGGGTGACACTGGAGTCGGGATATCTCACCCACGATATTCCCATTTCTGACCCAGCTGTGACACCTGCGTTGGGATGAGAGTTTGGGATATGGGATATCTCATCCACCAATATTCCCAGATGTGACACCTGGGTTGGGATGAGAGTTTGGGATATGGGATATCTCATCCACCAATATTCCCAGATGTGACACCTGGGTTGGGATGAGAGTTTGGGATATGGGATATCTCATCCACCAGTATTCCCAGATGTGACACCTGCGTTGGGATCAAAGCTGAGCCCAAAGCTGAGCCCAAAGTTGAGTCCTAAAGCAGAGCCCTCAGCAATCCAAAAAAGCATCCCAATCCTGAAATCCCAAATCCCTGCTCTGACACTCTGACACTTTGGGATCAGCCTTTGGGCTCAGGTTTTGGCATCACCCTTTGGGCTAAGCCTTTGGGATCACCCTTTGGGATCAGGTTTTGGGATCACCCTTTGGGATCAGGTTTTGGGATCATCCTTTGCGTTCACCCTTTGGGATCAGGTTTTGGGTTCACCCTTTGGATCCAGTTTTGGGATCACCCTTTGGGTTCACCCTTTGGATCAGGTTTTGGGATCACCCTTTGGGATCACCCTTTGGGAACAGGTTTTGGGATCATCCTTTGGGTTCACCCTTTGGATCAGGTTTTGGGATCATCCTTTGCAATCACCCTTTGGATCAGGTTTTGGGATCACCCTTGGGGTTCACCCTTTGGATCACCCTTTGGGATCACCCTTTGGATCAGGTCTTGGGATCACCCTTTGGGCTCAGCCTTTGGGATCAGGTTTTGGGATCACCCTTTGGGATCACCCTTTGGATCAGGTTTTGGGATCACCCTTTGGGATCACCCTTTGGATCAGGTTTTGGGATCATCCTTTGCGTTCACCCTTTGGGATCAGGTTTTGGGATCACCCTTTGGGCTCAGCCTTTGGGCTCAGCCTTTGGGATCAGGTTTTGGGATCACCCTTTGGATCAGGTTTTGGGATCACCCTTTGGGCTCGGCCTTTGGGATCAGGTTTTGGGCAGCCCCACAGCCGCTTTCTCCCCCCTTGGAAGGGAAACTCCGTTCCCGTGGTTTTGGGAAGCAAACCCATCCTCCAAACCAGGAGATCTGTGCCAGCGCCGCGTGTCCCCCCTGCCCAGCCCCAGGGACGTCCCTTCCCCGTCCCCCCAGCCCTTCCCACCCCACACCCCGTGCCCAGATCTGTTGAAAATCCAGGTGGAAAAATCAAGGTACATTTTATTTCCCTGCCACCCCCGGGTGCCATCGGAGCCCTCCAGCCCCGCGGAGACTTTGGAGGTTTTGTTTCCTTTTCCAGCCCCGCAGAGACTTTGGAGGTTTTGTTTCCTTTTCCAGCCTCTGCCTCACTCCTCCCATCTTCCCTCATGGCTCTGTGGGGGAAAAAGTCATTAAATCCACACCTCCATCTCGCTTTTATCACTGATCTGATTATCTCGTAATTCCCTCCCCGAGCAGCAAACGAGTGTGAACCGACTTCTATCCAATTTCACAATTTCAACGGATTTGTAAATAATCTGGGAGTAAGAAAAAAAGAAAAAAGATGGAGCGGGGCGGGGGGGAATGTCTTTGTAATTTCTGCTTTTCCTTTATGGTGAAATATAAGGGATTTTAGTCCATGTAGCCATGCAAATCCACTTAGGGCTGCGCCCAGGGGATGGAGGAAGGGGTGGGAGGGAAGAGGGAGGGACTCACTCCCCACCTCAGCCCCGCCCGGAGCTGCCAGACCTGAGCCAGGCCCGGGAACTTTTCCCTGCCCGAATTCCCTGCAGGGAAACAAATCACCCGTGGTTCACCCTCCGTCTGCAGCCAAAGGACCAAAAGTGGATTTTTGTGATTTTTTTTTTATTTTTGGGGTTTTTTTTTTTGTTGTTTTTTTGTTTTTTGGGTTTTGGTTTGTTTTTTTTTTTTTTTTTTGTGGCTGGGTTTTGGTAGAGGAATTTTGAAGCGGTTAAAATGTGGAATGTTTGCGGGGGGATTTTCACAGCAGGTCAGGTCCCACCATGGGGAAATCCAGGTGGATTTAGGGAGGCATTTCAGGACCTGGCCTTCACCCCACGCTTCTCAAGCACCCAAACCCTCCCCCGGGATCCTTTCCAGCTCCTCTCCGGGGCTCCCCTGCCCTGGGAAGGCTCCCGGGTGACTCCAGGGGCGGCTGCAGGGGAGGGCGCGGCACCGGGGCGAGCTCCGACATGACTGGGATGGGATCCATGGGATCCATGGGATGGGATCCATGGGATCCATGGGATCCATGCAATGGGATCCATGCAATGGGATCCATGGGATGGGATGGGATCCATGCAATGGGATCCATGGGATGGGATGAGATCCATGGGATGGGATCCATGGGATGGGATCCATGGGATGGGATGGGATCCATGGGATGGGATCCATGGGATGGGATCCATGGGATGGGATGGGATCCATGGGATGGGATCCATGGGATGCGATGGGATCCTTGGGATGGGATCCATGGGATGCAACGGAATCCATGGGATGGGATGGGATGGGATGGGATGGGATGGGATGGGATGGGATGGGATGGGATGGGAGGATGGGATGGGATGGGATGGGATGGGATGGGATGGGATGGGATGGGATGGGATGGGATGGGATGGGATGGGATGGGATGGATGGATGGATGGGGCAGCCAGGCAGGGCGAATTCCAGCCCAGAGGATCCAGGCAGGGTGAGTTCCAGCCCAGGAGGAGCTGAGCACATCCTCGGGGACAGCCAGGAGACACCACGGGGCTCTTCCCCCTGACCCCCCACGGTGGTGGAATGCTGAGCTCCCAGGCCGGAGGATTCCTGGGATCCAGCTGGAGCGGATCCCTCCTGCTTGTGGTTTGCGATAGAAACACGGAGCTGGCTGGAGATGAATCGTCACCGCTCCCCTGGGCCCTTCCCCCTGCTGAACCCTCTCTGTGCTCACATGAACTCGCCTTCTCCTTCCTCTCCGTCTCCTCCTCCTTCTGTTCCTACTTCTATTTCTCCCTCTCCCTCCCCTTCCTTCTCCTCCTCCTCCCTCTCCTCTTGCTTCTTCTCCTCCTTCTCTTCCTCCTTCTCCTTTTCTTCCTCCTCCTTCATTTCCTCCTCCTCACTGGCTCTTCTCCCTCCTCTCCTCCTCCTCCCTCCCTCCTCCTCTTCCTCCTTCATCTCCTCCTCCCTCTCTCTCTTCTCCCGCTTCTCCTCCTTCTCTTCCTCCTCCTCCTTCTTTCTCTCCTCCTCCTCCTCCTCCTCCTTCTCTCTCTCCCCCTCCCCTCCCCTTCCCCTTCCTCCCCTCACTTTGGAGCTCCCAAAATCTCCGATTCTCAGCCCAGCGGAGACACCGCGGGAGCTGCCAGGAAACGGCGTCCAAAAAAGGCAGGGGGAGGATCTCGTCTGCCGAGTGGCAGCGCCGTAAATCCCAGAAATCCCAGAAATCCCAGAAATCCCAGAAATCCCAGAAATCCCAGAAATCCCAGCCCCGCAGGACTGCTCCCGCTCCTGTCAAACCCCGGGAGGGGAGGGCCGGGATTGGGGTCACGCCTCCCGCCCGGTCCTGGGGCGCAGGCCCGGCTCCCACTGGGGGAGCGCCCAAATCCCACTGCTGAGCTCCTCGGGGCGTGCCAGAGCCTGGAGATCCATCCCCGGGACACCATCCCAACCTCATGGACACCATGATCCCAATCCCACAGACACCATCCCAACTCCATGGACACCATGATCCCAATCCCACAGACACCATCCCAACTCCATGGACACCATGATCCCAATCCCACAGACACCATCCCAACTCCATGGACACCATGATCCCAACCCCATGGACACCGTCCCAACTCCATGGACACCATGATCCCAACCCCATGGACACCATGATCTCAATCCCATGGGAACACTATCCCAACCCCATGGACATCATCCCAACCTCATGGACACCATGATCCCAACTCCATGGACACCATAATCCCAACCCCATGGACACCATGATCTCAATCCCATGGACACCATGATCTCAATCCCATGGGACACTATCCCAGCCCATGGACACCATCCCAACCTCATGGACACTATCCCAACCCATGGGACACCATGATCCCAATCCCATGGGACACACGGATCCCAATCCCACAGAACACCATCCCAATTCCTTGGGCACCCAGCAGCCCAGTGTGAGACTGAACGGGGATCCTGGGCTGGAATGGGGATCCTGGGCTGGAATGGGAACCCTGGGCTGGAATGGGGATCTTGGGCTGGAATGGGGATCCTGGGCTGGAATGGGAATCCTGGGCTGGAATGGGGATCCTGGGCTGGAATGGGGATCCTGGGCTGGGATGGGGATCCTGGGCTGGAATGGGGATCCTGAGCTGGGATGGGGAATCCTGGGCTGGGATGGGAATCCTGGGCTGGAATGGGGATCCTGGGCTGGAATGGGGATCCTGGGCTGGAATGGGGATCCTGAGCTGGGATGGGGAATCCTGGGCTGGAATGGGAATCCTGGGCTGGAATGGGAACCCTGGGCTGGAATGGGGGATCCTGAGCTGGAATGGGAACCCTGGGCTGGAATGGGGATCCTGGGCTGGAATGGGAACCCTGGGCTGGAATGGGAACCCTGGGCTGGAATGGGGGGTCCTGAGCTGGAATGGGAACCGTGGGCTGGAATGGGGATCCTGGGCTGGAATGGGGATCCTGGGCTGGAATGGGGACCCTGGGCTGGAATGGGGATCCTGGGCTGGAATGGGGATCCTGGGCTGGAATGGGAATCCTGGGCTGGAATGGGAATCCTGGGCTGGGATGGGGGATCTTGGGCTGGAATGGGGGATCCTGGGCTGGAATGGGAATCCTGGGCTGGGATGGGGGATCTTGGGCTGGAATGGGAACCCTGGGCTGGAATGGGGATCCTGGGCTGGAATGGGGATCCTGGGCTGGAATGGGAACCCTGGGCTGGAATGGGAACCCTGGGCTGGAATGGGGATCCTGGGCTGGGATGGGGATCCTGGGCTGGAATGGGGATCCTGGGCTGGGCTGGGGATCCTGGACTGGAATGGGAACCCTGGGCTGGAATGGGGGATCTTGGGCTGGAATGGGGAATCCTGGGCTGGAATGGGGATCCTGGGCTGGAATGGGAACCCTGGGCTGGAATGGGGGATCTTGGGCTGGAATGGGGATCCTGGGCTGGAATGGGGATCCTGGGCTGGAATGGGAATCCTGGGCTGGAATGGGGGATCCTGGGCTGGAATGGGGATGCTGGGCTGGAATGGGGATCCTGGGCTGGAATGGGGATCCTGGGCCGGAATGGGAACCCTGGGCCGGAATGGGAACCCTGGACTGGAATGGGAACCCTGGGCTGGAATGAGGAATCCTGAGCTGGAATGGGAACCCTGGGCTGGAATGGGAACCCTGGGCTGGAATGAGGAATCCTGAGCTGGAATGGGAACCCTGGGCTGGAATGGGGATCCTGGGCTGGAATGGGGATCCTGGGCTGGAATGAGGAATCCTGAGCTGGAATGGGGATCCTGGGCTGGAATGGGGGATCCTGGGCTGGAATGGGGAATCCTGGGCTGGAATGGGGGGTCTGGGGCTGGAATGGGGATCCTGGGCTGGGATGGGGACCCTGGGCTGGAATGGGGATCCTGGGCTGGAATGGGGATCCTGGGCTGGAATGGGGGATCCTGGACTGGAATGGGAACCCTGGGCTGGAATGGGGATCCCGGGCTGGAATGGGGGACCCTGGGCTGGAATGGGGATCCTGGGCTGGAATGGGGATCTTGGGCTGGAATGGGGATCCTGTTCCGGCTCGGGCGATCCTCCCTCCCCGCATACCGGACGGGGCCGCTCCGTGGCCGGGACAAGCCCAGATGTGCCCGGGACAAGCCCAGATGTGCCCGGCGGATTCCTGAGCGCTGCGTCAGCGCCCCGGCCCCGCGCGGGGCAGGCGGAAAACTCCGGGCAGGAAAATTCCGGGTAGGAAAAGTCCGGGCAGGAAAATTCCGCGTAGGAAAAGTCCGGGTGGGAAAAGTCCGGGCAGGGGCCGGTGGGCAGGGACGGAAAGGACGTGGCGATGTCGCTGCACCTCCAGCCCTGTTCCAGGCTGCCAGCGAGCAACGGGAAGGACACGGAGCCTGGAAAAGCAGGAGCAGGACAGACCTCACCTGCGGCCACGCACAACCCCGACAGAAATCGGGGCCCAGCCCCAAGGGATTGCGCAGAGACCTTCGGGGTTTTCCTTTAGAGCGTCCCTCGCATTCCAGCGAGCCCAGGAGGGGTCAGGTCCCGCTTGGAGCAGCAGTTCCAGCCCCCCGAGCGGGGCAGAGGCCCGGGGACCGTGTCCCTGGTGGTGCCACCGGGAGCGGCTGTGGCGTGAGCACAGCCCAGGCCGGGATTTTGGAGCCTCTGCTCAAAGTCCTCGCTGCGAATCAGGCAGAACAGGAACTTCAGCCCGGACTTTTCCCGGCTCCTGGCGGCTCTCCCGGGCCTCGGCTCCGTTCCCGCAGCGCCGGCGGAGCCCGGACCCACCCGCGGTCCCCTCTCCGCGCAGAAATCCGCGCTCCCGGCCCCACCGCGGCCCGGGGCGCGGAGGAGGGGCGGGGGGCGCGGAGGTGGGGCCGGGGGCCGGCGCACAAAGCCGGGGGCTGCGCCGGGGCGGGCCCGGTGCGCGGGCGCGGGGTCCAGGCTCCTCCTCCGCCGCCGCCGCGCCGGGGATGCTGCGGCCGGGCCGGCTCCGGGAGCCCCGCGGAGCCCCGCGCCGCGCCGAGGAGCCAGCGGCCACCCCAGGTGGGCACGGGGGGACACCGGGGGGACACCGTGGGGCCGTGCCCGGGGGGCTCCGGGCAGGGCCACGGAGGGGACGCGCGGGGGAAGCGCTGGCGGCACCGGGGGACGCTGCCCGGGGAGCTGCGGGGACACCGAGGAGACCCGGAGGGGACCCGGAGGGGCTGAGACTCGCGGTGGGGCTCCCCACAGTGCGATGGTTTTGGGGTGACCCCCCCGCCGGGCACAGCGGCCCCGGGGATGCCCCTCACCGGCCCTCCCCCGGCCCGGCACCGTGGGGACCGGGCTCGGGGCTCGGGGACAGGGCTCGGGCTCGCTCACAAAGGGTCGGGATCGCCCCGGGAGAGCGGCTGGACTCGCCCCGTTGCCGGTTCCCATCCCTCTGGCCGCTCGGAGCCGGCCGCGGCTCCCTCGGGGCTCGGCTCTGGCTTTTCGCTTCCCTCTGAAGTCTGGAAAACTTCTTTTCACACGGCAGCGAGAAAATTCTGCCTGTTCAGCACCTCGGTGCGGCTGCCTCGGGTTCCAGAGCCCCGCGCTGCCCGGCCAGGAGGGGAAGGCAGGGAAGGAGCGGATGCCTTTGGTTTGTTGTCATCAGCTCGGAGCCATCCCGGCGAGGGGCTGCCTGCTCCTGCAGGAATTCTTCGCCGCTGGAGCTGCGTGGGAGGGGAGGAAGGAGCGCGGGGGCCGCGGTTGGAGCGGGCAGCGGGACCCCTGCGGGAAACGCCGACCGCACCGGGAGGGATGCGGCAGCTCCGTCCCGCCGCCTCTGCAAGGGCTCCGGCTTTTCCTGGGGCCACGAGGGGCTGGCCCCGCTCCGGGCCGGGCTTCTGCAGCCCGGGGAAGGCGTGGGAGGGAGCTCGGAGCTGCCCGGAGGCCGCGCAGCTCCTGGAAAGGCAGGGATGAATCTCGCCTGGAAAAGCGGCGCTGGAGAGCCGCCACGGGCAGAGGCAGCGCCGGGCTGTCACCGCTCCGCCGGTGATACCGAGCGCTCGGGGGTAGATCCGGTGCTGCACGGCGGGGCCGAGCACGGGGACAGGTCCTGGCAGGCGACATTCCCGTCCTGGCACGCGACATTCCCGTCCTGGCACGCGACATTCCCGTCCTTGCTGAGCCACCCGAGCTCTGTTTGCACCGTGACATCCCCCGAGGGCCCTGGGCTCCCCCTCCTGCTTCAGGGGTCCCTCCCACGGGGCAGATCCCCCCCCCCCGCACCTGGCAGGAGGGTCCCACACCCATAAGAGGATCCAGTGCTGAGCCCCCCCTACCCCAGGGATGTGCTCCCATCCCTCGGTGCACAGCTGCATCCCTCCTGTGCATCCCTGTCACCCGGGGAGCTGGGCTCGGTGTCCTGCTGTCCCCTTGTGCCACCACCCCCCGTGGCTGCCCCGTCCAGCAGAGCCGAGCCCCGGGCACCGCCTTGGCCTGAGGGGTTTCTGTCTCTGTCTGTGCTCACAGCGGGGTCCGTGCGCCTCGGGGAGCCAGGAGGGACCAGCGCTGGCCCCATTTTTGGGAACAGGCCCGTGCGTTTCCACAGGAGAAACAAAAATCCTCCCCAGAGCTCCTGCTCTGCGCCGGAGGCTGCGGCGAGCAGAAAACGAGTGGGGGAAAAAACTCCCCCACCATCAGCCAGACACCGATTTCCCTCCCCTGGGAAGCTCTGCCAGGGATTCCTGTCCGGCCCAGCCTCGCACAGTGTCACAGCCTGTCCCCTGCGTGTGTCCAGCTCACCTCTGTGCCCCCAGCCAGGCTCCTCCAGTGTCACCCTGTCCCCTGCGTGTGTCCAGCTCACCTCTGTGCCCCCAGCCAGGCTCCTCCAGTGTCACCCTGTCCCCTGTGTGTGTCCCTGCGTGTGTCCCTGTGCCCCCAGCCAGGTTTTCCAGTGTCACACACTGTCCCTTGCGTGTGTCCAGCTCACCCCCGCGCCCCCAGCCCGGTTTTCCCGCGGCTGCGGCGCCGCTCCGCCCAGGCCATTAATTACCAGGGTCATTAATGAGCGACACAAAGAGCTGGAAGTGCGAGATCCTCGCAAATCGGCGTTGGGGGCAATTAATGGCAGCTGCAAAAGCGCACTCAGCCGCACAACCGCGGCTCCGGGGATGCTCCCGGCCCTCGCTGCGGGACCCCCCGGACCCCCCGGACCCCCCGGACCCCCCGAGCCCCCGGCTGAGCCCCCCAGACCCGGCGGGGCTGCGGGATCGGCCCGGAGCCGCTCCGTCCCTCCCACCCGTTAGTCACCGCTCCTGGCAGGCAGCGCTGCCGAGGGGGGAGGCGAAGGCAGGCGAGGCTCAGGCAGCAGAACGAGAGCTGCAGAGCAGCCCCGCACCCCACAGAGCCGCCCCGCACCCCGCAGGAACAGCCCCGCACCCCACAGAGCCGCCCCGCACCCCACAGAGCCCCGGCACAGCCCCCCGGCCCCGGGCGCTGCCAGGGCTGCGCTCCCGTGCCCAGGGCAGGAGGGGCAGAGGGAGATGCTCCGCTCTGGAGGGGACAGGGATTTGTCCCAGGGATTTGTCCCAGGCTCTGCCCCTCCTCCTGCAGCCCTCGCTCTCTCCTCGGCCCCAAATCCCTCTCTCCCCACTCTGGGAAAGCTCTGCCCGCAGCGGGCAGGTCCGGTCATGCTCAGGTGAGGCTCAGGTGAGGCATCCTCGGCACGCAGAGATGGGCAGCGCACAGCAGCAGGGCCCGGCCGGGGCTGGGGCAGGAATCTGATCCTTGGGAGCATCCCCAAAAATCCCTGAGAGCCAGAGCCGAGCTGCAGGGTCCCTTCCCGGGACACCGAGTCACCCGGGGCCACCGGCAGCGCTCGGTGCCTGCGCTGCGTGGCCAAGTGTGAAACTGTAGTAGCACTGCAGCTATTCCGGGAGCTGCTGCTAAACCTGCTGTGAAACCTGCTGCTAAAACCGCTCCTAAAGCTGCTCCCGGAGCAGCCCGGCCTGGCACAGACACGGCTGTGGCTCCGTGCGGGACCTTCACCCTGCAGGGCTCAGGGAAAGCTCAGCCCCCGCAGGAAATTTGGAGGGGAATTTTCCTGTCCCCCCTGACCACTGCCTGGCGTGTTTATAAATATCCCTCTCTCCTGGGAGGCCCCAAATCCACCCCCTGCCGGATTTATTCGGTGTTCCACGCTGGCCAGCTGCCCTTGGGGGGATTTTTGCAGGAGCTGCAGAGCAGCAGGGAAGGAGCGAGGCAGGAGCCCCGAGCAGGGTTTCCATTCGGGATTAGTTAAAAATAGCAGGGAATGCACAAAGATCCGGCACGTGGCTCATCCACCGAGGCTTTCCCTGCTGCCAGCCGGGCTTTTGTGCTGCTCCCTGGGCTGGGAGAAGCCCGTGCGAGCAGCAGGGCCGAGCAGCTCCCGGGATTTTTGTGGGAAGCTCTGAATTCCCTGGATTTGGAGAGCAAAACCCTGCGGAAGGAGCAGCGCTGGGGTTCCTGCAGCAGCAAACGTGCAGCGCTCCCAGCCAGACCTTCCTCCTCTTCCTCCTCTTCCTCACAGCCAGGACTTGTCCTGCTGGGCTGAAATATTCCCGTTTATCCCCCCGTGGCAGCAGCAGGCCTCGGCCAAGGCAGCTCCTGCCTGAAGGGAGTTTTTATCATTTTTGGGACAGCCTCGTCCCCGAGCTCTGCCTTTTTGGGGAGGGAGGATCCTCCCAGGCCTGGGAGAGGGAGAGGATGGAGCTGGAAGGGTCTGGGAAGGGAAAACCTCCCAAAATTCCCGGCTGCCATCCCGAGGTGTCCCCTTGGAGCTCTCCTGCATGCAGGGCTGTGGATTTGGCCCCTTGCCCAAGCCAGGATCAGAGGCTCCTGCTTGGGATCCAGGAACATTTGGGATCTTTAACTGCCCCTTTTTCCAGCAGCCGTCTCCTCCTGCTCCTCCCGATTTTCGGAACAACTCGGTGACACCTCCGTGAGCCACTTAGGGACGGGCTCCTTTAAAGGTTAATTAAATATTCCCTGCAACTTTGATGCACATTTCCCTGTTGGGAGAGCTGCTCTATTTGGCAGCCAGGCATTAAAGGGGTGGATTTCACCACGGGCCAAGTCTGGAAAGGAGAGGAAGAGGAAAACGGGAAGTGAGAGCTGAATTTGCCTTTTATTTATTTTTTATTTTCCCCTTCTGCTGCTGCATTGGAGCATTGGGATGGGATGTGACACTCTGGGAAGAGGAGAGGAGCTGGGGATGAGGAGCCAGCAGCAGCAGATGCTCCTCGCAGTGAGGACCCAGCTTGGCTGCTCCTCAAGGAGCACAAGTTGCCTTTCCTCAGCTCTGAGCACCAGGCTGGGGACAAAAATCCCCAAATTTAGACGAGCCGGGTGTAAGTGGTGCCACAGATGGGAAGGGCAGCACAGGAGGAATCACAGCAAAGCTCAGCCTAGACCTGGTTTAGTTTGAGGAGGGTCTTTAGGCCCTGCCTGGGAGAGGTTTTCCCTCTGACTCTCACAGTTTCCTCAGGCTGGGGCACAGATTTGGGGCTTTCAGCTGCTGCCAGGGCCAGTGACTGCCCCTCCTGTTTCTCAGGCAGTGTTTAGCCCTTGGCTGGAGGAAAAAACCCCAAACCAGCCCAATTCCAGCCCAATTCCAAGCCTTGTCCCCCTTTCCAGGCCATCCCCAGGGCGCAGGGAGGAGGGGATGGCAGAGGGTGGCCCCGTGCCCCTCATGGTGCCCATCTGAGCCCAGCAAGCCCAAATTTGCTTTCTGGTCTCCAGAGAGGCCAGGAGGTGCCCCGAGTGTCCCTGAGAGGGGCTGAAGGAGCAGAGGGGACACCCGGGGTGGGGTGGGCTGGCCGCTGTGGCCAGCAGGAGCAGGGGGGCAGTGCCAGGGGGGCGATGGCAGCGAGGCAATGCCAGCCCTGCCGCTCCTGGCTGCTTTTCAGCCGCTCGGCGGAGGGGGGGAGAGACAATAAAAGGCGCGGAGATTGCAAACACAGCCCGGTCTCCATGGCAGCCTGAGCACCGCTGCTAAATTTTGCCTGTACATGGAGAGGATGCTGCTCCCCTCCTGT